AGTACGGATGGTCGTAACAGCAAGTTTTTATGTCGTGACATGGCGCACAGGTGCCTCAGAACAGAAGTGTGCAGTGACTACCACTACACACCGATGCGGAATCGGGGACAAGTCCTCAATGCACAAAGAATCTCAAAATTGTCATGCGCAGGTGGTTGTGTTTATGGCAGGGTGCATGCGAATACGGGCGGCATGTCACTGTGTTTACATCAATCTACACGCAGGATGCGGACGCTCGGGCTGACCGGCAGACCGGAGCCGTATCAAGACACAGTGGGGGCGATTGCAGGCGCGGGTACGACAGTGATGCAGGACTCGATCATGGCGAGGCCGCGGCTGCAGAACGTGGGGCAGGTGGCGCTGGAGAGGGCTGGTGTAGAGGCGGGGGCCGGGGCGGGGGCGCCAGTGACGGTGCTGCCAGCACCCTTGGACCGGCGCAGCCGCTCGAGCTCTTGGATGAGGAGCTGCTGTCGCCTCGCCAGCTGCAGGATCGCCTCGCGCTGCTGCATGAAGGCGCGCGCCTCGAGCGCCGTGGCCAACAGTTGGGATGGCTCTCCGACCACCGAGGCGAGGCTCTGCCGGGGACGTGCGGAGGGCGGCGAGATGTGCTGCTTTCGGATGGAGGCCCCCACGCGGGCCGTCAGGTCACGGCGCGGTGGATCCTCAAACGAAGAGGCCCTCTGCAGCCGAGGGGGGCGCCTCGCCTTGCGGTCTGGCTGGGGAGACTCAGGCTGGACCCGGAGGGCCTCGAGTATCGTGTCCAGCTTTTCCTCCGCGGGCTTGGCGTTGGGGATGCAGCGCTCGAGAGGCGGCGCACCGATCGTGAACGAGGGCGCGAGGGGCCCCGATCGCGCGCGAGGGCGCGCCTTTGGTTGATGGGTGTCTGTCGATGGCGACATCTCAGCAGCCCCTAGGGGGCGCATCGTACTGTGGGTGATGAGCGAACAATCAGCGTGCTTCGGTTACATCGGTTTGGCTGGTGTGCAACCTCCAGATTACATGCTCAGAACGCCCTCGGCAGCGCGAGCTCGCTTCGATTTCGTGGAGGATGTGTGCCGAAGCGGAGATCCCTTCGATGAAATCGTGATTCGCCCTCAGCAGTCGCCTCCAGCAGGCCGAGGCTGCGACTGAACTCTGAATGGAACTTCTACCGAGAAAGAAAGCTGCTCGGGAGTGCCCAAGCTCATCGCCCTCCCTGTCAGCAGTCCTCCTCCGGGAATGTACGTAAGAGCCACATACACATCTCTGGTGGAACGTCCCGGACGGGAAAAGAAAAACCAAAAAAGCCCAACCAATGGCCACGGGCATTTTAATAAGCAGGCAAAAATGAATTTTTTCTGGGAGCAACTTCCTTGGTAGGCTGAGCGGGTAAGCCCCACGCAGCCCCCAGCGTAGTCCAATGTCCTCTCGAATGGTCGCTTGCTGCTCGAGCCCACAGCCCGCAGCGCCATATTTTCGCCGTCCTCCCGCCCCACCACACACCATGAGCACGTCAACGAGAACGACGCTGTTGCCGTTGGGCCGCGAGATGGAAAATAGCACAAACTGGCGGCTCGGCCAGAGGCGATTGGACAGTGAACCCGGATTCAGTAGTTGTGATAATGGCTCTGTCGTGTTCGATATGGCTCTGTCATCGTGCAACAAGTAGCGTGTGGAGCATTTGTCTCTTGAACGCAAGCGAAATCCTCGTTGAATGGTTTTCACTCCCGCGACGCACCCTCCCCGCGGCACGGCTCGGCAGCAGGTGATTGTAAGTTGTTTGGCAGCACACCGTCAGTAAGTGCGGTAGTGGGCATGCTCTCGCGCACATAGGCACATGCAGCAAAGCGCAGCCGCGTGTCACACGCCACGCGCATTCAGCAGAGCAGCAGAGCGGTGCCGAGAGAAGGCTTGCCAGAAGGGCCTCTTATTGCGGTGTCGGGGCTGCTCCCTCGCTGCCAGATGCTGGCTGCGCGTTCGAGCAGCACCGGAGCGCCTCCTCGAACATGTACTGCGAGGCCGGTGTGCGGACAACCCGCACATCCTTGAAATAGAGACCCGCCACCGAGCCGCGGTAGTCGTTCCTCCTACCCTGCGCCGCCTGAGGCGAGGCAAAAGGTGAAGCTCCGCACAAATCCGCTGAGTAACGAGGCATGCTTGGTGTGCGAAGCACATGTGCATGCACAGGTGGCATGTGCGTTTGTGTGCCGGCGCGTGTGTGCTTGCGAGACCACCTTGAGAGCCCTCAGCTTGGCCGGGGGTTGTATGAAAGCATGGAAGGTGGCAGCGCAGGTCGCGCCGCTCGGATCGTCGTGGATGCGCTGCATCACCAGCGGCTTATCTGCGGCCGGAAGGGCACATGTGAAGGACTGCAACAGTTCGGTTGGCGAACGGGGCGAGCCTGACTATCTGCGCTTGAGGGCCCAGCGAGGGCGGCGCGCACAGTCCTTGCAGTTGGCGTGGAGGAGGAAGCACGGGCCGGGGCATCGGTGGAAGGTCTTGGCCGTCGCGCCTCGGTCGTGGAACTATGCGCATGGCGTGTAATGAGACAGTAGAGTACGCGTTTTGTAGATCATTGGCAGTCGGTGCGGCGTGGGCGGCTCACCGCGGGCCAGTATTGCGGCGACATCTGGCGATTCCATCCGCAAGGCAGCGAGTAGAAGAGATCGCCGCCGTCGGCCATCCCTGCACGCCGTTGCACGCGGCTGAGCACAGCGAGAGGTGCGTGGGTGTGAGTGAAGGCGTGCGGCGTCTGGAGAGGGTTAGTCGGCGCTGAGTCGGGGCTCGCCGGGCACAGACATCCACGAGTAGAGGGTCTGGTCGGCCACCCAACCGAGGGTGCGGTTGTTGGGCTTGCCCCGGAACCAGTTCCAGCCCAGCTCCTCGAGGGTCGGACCAGACGCGAGCCTGCGCGGCAGCTGCTGTGACGCGAAGCCGGCGACAACCCGTTGGTACAACTGTGAGCGGCGCATCCGCTCCAGCCACATGAGCATCACCCCGGTGTTGTAGCCGCGGCCGCCGAGCTCGACGAGCATCTTGTACTGCGGCGACTGCTCGCTCACGATGCCAACCACGTGGCTCGGTGCAAAGCGGTCTGAGAGGAAGGGTCGGCAATCGGCTGAGGGTCAAGCGCAGGCTGAGGGTCAGGCAAAGGCTGAGGGTCAGGCGCTGGCTGAGGGCGGGCTACGGAGCCCGCGCCAAAGTGGCTCCACAGCTCAGCGATTGGCGCCGAGACCATGATGTCCGCGTCCAGGAGCAGGACACGGCGGACAGCAGATGGTAGGACGTAGTGCAGTAGGTTCTTCCATAGGTACGTGTACCCTGGCCCGCGGGTCAGCAGCCTGAGCTGCGCCATCAGGTCGTGCGCCTCCTTGGGCGCTTGCGAGAGGGAGTAGAGGTGCACACGACCTCCAAGCGGGGAGGCGGGCCCGAGGAGGCGGCAAAGGCTCAATCGCACCGTCGAATTTGGCGGCTCGTCCGTTACGATGTGGTACCGCGCTCGCCCGCCTGGTGCAAAGGCGTCAATGTTGCGCATCGCGCGCAGTGTGCCATTCAGCCTCGTAGCGTCTTCATTGTCTCGGAGGCGGAGGCCGGCAGGGACGCATCCTGCAGGCGGTGGCGGGCTCGGCGGCGACGGAGACGGCGGCGAGGGCGAGGGCTGGGGTGAGGGCGGCGGCGAGGACGGTGGAGGGCTTGGTGGAGGTGGCGAGGGCGGGGGCGAGGCCAGGGGTGGGATCGGGGGCTGTGGCGAGGGTGGTGGCGAAGGCGGAGGCAGCGAGGGTGGAGGCGGCGAGGGCGGCGGCGGCGAGAGCGGAGGCGAGGGCGGAGGCGGCGAGGGCGGAGGCTGCGAGGGCGGAGGCGGCGAGGGCGGAGGCTGCGAGGGCGGAGGCGAGGGCGGAGGCGGCGAGGGCGGAGGCGAGGGCGGAGGCGGCGAGGGCGGAGGCTGCGAGGGCGGAGGCGGCGAGGGCGGAGGCTGCGAGGGCGGAGGCGAGGGCGGAGGCGGCGAGGGCGGAGGCGAGGGCGGAGGCGGCGAGGGCGGAGGCTGCGAGGGCGGAGGCGAGGGCGGAGGCGGCGAGGGCGACGGCGAGGGCGGAGGCGGCGAGGGCGGAGGCGGCGAGGGCGGAGGCTGCGAGGGCGGAGGCGAGGGCGGAGGTGGCGAGGGCGGCGGCGAAAGCCT